CATCGGATGCTAGGGAGATAGTGCAGGAATGGTCCTTAGCACTGAAGCAGAAAGGACAGAGCTTGGGCTGGGACGGAGGCTGGGGCTGAGGTTGGCACGGGGCACAGCGGGGCTGAGGCTGAGGTTGGAGCTGGGATTTGAAGCTGAAGCCAAGTAGAGCATGGACTAAGGTGGGGTTGTTGGAGGTTGGGTTGGCAGAGCATCTCTTTCAGTCTTGACAGGATTCTGAGAAGCCTATTTTTGGAGTCCAAGGCAGATGTTCTCCCCCAGTGAAGAGAATGTTTGGTGTCTGCTCTCCCCTTGGAGGGGCGGGATAGATCCCCTCCCCCTGCTCCCCTCAGCTAAGCAGAGTCATACATCACCAAGGGGCCGGGGCTCCCTAGATGTATTGCCCTAATACGTCGCTATAGCAACCCCACTCGAATCCTGCATTATTCTAATGTGGTCCCCCTCCCCACTGTGATGTATAGCTTGGGTCTCAGAGCTGTGGGGCCCCTTCTCTGAGTCTGCTCCAAGTACCCTAGGGATGGGTGGGTCAGAGGCTGGCTTGGCTTCTTTGGGCCCTGTCTTGCTTCTCTTCACCCCATGCACGGGATCCTTTGTGAGGCTGGGTGTGGAGATGGGGTCTGGCCCATTGGCCCACGCACCCGCCTGCCCAGAGAGGGGAACCGGCAGGCCATGTGTCCTGGCCCTGGCACACGAGTGCCTGACGCACCGACCCACGCCAGGCTGCCCGGCCTGGGGACCTGAGGCCTTGGGGTTGGGGGCCAGGGCAGGACAATGGCTGCATTCCTGCTGTGAGCTACAGGCCCCCATTGTTCCTGTGGACACTGCCTACTTGAGGGCTGTGATTCTGGCCCTCACCCCATGGGGGGCGTAGGATGCTCCCTGGACCACTCCCCCGCGGGACCATAGAGGGGTGATTCATGGGGTGGCCAGGGCATAGCAAGCCCCAGCTGTGCCCAGATTCTGGGGGGTGGGAGGGGGAGGCGACTAAGGGTTGTTTGTGTCGGGGGGTGTGGCGGGTATTGAATAGTCAGAGGACTCTGGGCCATGGACACCAACCACGTCATCTTCTACCCCTCCTCATGTGTGGGCCGCTCAGAGAGGCCCCATTGTCAGACGGGCAGGCCCACCCAGGCTAGAAGGGAAGCAATACTTGAGAGGGGCCACCTCAGAGCTGAGAGAATCCGTAGACCATCCCTCACACTACACTGGTGGGGAAATTGAGGTCAGGGAAAATGGCAGGGACTTACTTAAGGTCACACAGCTAGGTGGTGACAGGCCTGGGACCAGAACATTTCTCTGTATGTCCCTGGTGTTGAGATGCTGCTGCCATTTCTGGTAGAAAAACTGAGTCCCACTGGTGATCTTTGGCCTTGGCAGAAGTTATGTTTATAAGCGCCTTCCTGTCCTCTACTTCCTTTGAAATCTCTCTAGTTCAGGTCAGCACTTGGCATCCCTGGAGTGAGAAATCAGAACTAAGGGCCTCCTAGGGCCATGCAGAGGCCATACTGACTGCATCTTCTGTGGGGCCCTGAAGAAGTGAATGGGGCATGGGGGTTCTCAGTGCTCTGATACACAAGATGCATAGATGTAACAATAGACTTCGTTGTTTCCTCCCAAACAATGATCTCACTTGGGTCCTCACATGCCTACCCTACATGACTGAGAGGTAGGGAGGGTAAGAAGCTAATCCAGGAGTGTTTTAGGACAGGGGTCTGGTCTGATTTATCTCTGTGTTCCCAGTGCTCAACATAGGGCCTGATTGTTAAATTGGATGATTGGATGAGTGGATGGATGGTGGATGGTTGGGTAGATGAATGGGTGGGTGGTTGAAGAGGTGGTTGAGGGTTGCATGGATGAATGGATGAGTGGATGGGTGGATTGATGAATGGATGAGCTAGTGGATGGGTGTAGGATGGATGGATAGATGGATGGAAGGATGGATGGATGGATGGATGGATGGATAAATGAGGGAATGCCCACTTCATATATTGAACTCCAGAGATGACCCAACTTGGGTTATATCAAAGATGGACAGTGGAGTGAGGCCTGAACTCAGGTACCTGGACTCCACCTTTGATGTTAGGATACCCTGTGGCGTAGTTTGGTGATCAACCTCTGGGTAGGGTGGCAGTAGAACCAGGAGTTGGGGTCTGAAGGAATCTATAGTCAGATTTAGTCTCATGGTAGGTGGCTCCACAGGGTCTAGGGGTCTTAATCCTGAGTTGAGTCTTCTGTGCTGGGATCAGAGGAGGAGGTGGGAGCCCATTGATGGAAGGGTCCTGGGCAGGGCAGCAAGAAGCATGAAGGTTCAGGAAGGAGCAATGAGTGGGGTCTTGAGGGCACTGGGGCTGAATGGTTTTGCCTCCTCGGGATCAGGCCTTGAGCAAAGAGCCCCAAGGTAAACCCCTATTCATTCTTCATGACCCAGCTTAATTAATGGTACCACCACCTATGAGGTTTTCTCTGACCATGTGGGTGCTATCTCCCCAGATCATACACAGAGCCATAGAAGGGGCTCAGTGCACATTCTTGGGGACATAAGGTTACCATGAAGAGGCAGAAGTGGGGGATAAGTTGGGAGACTGCACCTGCTACTAATTTCCTGGGTCCTTTTGGGCAAGTCCCTCAACATTCTTGGGTCTCTATTTCCTAATCTGTGGAGTGGGGATGGAGAGCTTGAACTTGTCTTTCCAGAGTGGTTTTGAGAACAAAGAGCAATAATTCTGGGGGGGGAATAAAAGCACTAGGCATGGTTTTTCTACACTGATTCAGCCCAGCAATAATATAATACTATATATTGTACATATAAAATTAATTTTATAGCTGACATTTAATGTGTACTTACAACATGCCAGGCACTCTTTTAAGTGTTTATGTATATAATTTCTCAGCAATCCTGCCAGGCAGGTACTATCATTTTCTTTTGATAGATGAGGAAACTGAGGTATGGAGAGCATTAGTAGCTTGCCCAGGGTCCCATGGGCAGCAAGTGGTGTAGCCAGAATGAAAGCCTGGGTGGATACCAGGGCCCACATTCTTTGCCACTATATTCGGTTGCTCAGTATGCAGCTCTCTGAATGGACGCATCAGGTGGACTTCCTGACCTCTTGGGTGATCCCAGGCAAGGCATCCAACTTCCCTGAGCCTCATGGGATTTACCTGATGGCAAGGTGGTGGGGAGGGGAGCAGATCCTAGTCAATTAGCTCCCACACCCTTTGTCTCCAAGCTTCTCTCTCTGGCCCAGTCTTGAGTTCTGGAACCTCTTCTGCTTTGGACACATGCCCCAAGCACTGGATGCTGCTATTCGCCCCAGCAGGGAGTGTAAATAGAACATGGACCCAGGTGTCAGATGAAGTAGGTTTTATTCCAGCTTTTATCGTTAACGAGTCATGCTGCCTTGGACAGGTCTCTAAAACTCGCTGGGTACCAGTTTGCTCATCTGCAAAATAGAGTAATTAATGCGAGATAATGAAAGTAAGTACGAAGTAAGTGCTGGATAAGTATTACGTCAGAATGCCTTGGACAGAGTGGGGGCCATGGTCAAAGTTCATTACATTTTGGTTTTCTTTCCCGTTCACTTGTTTCTGTACAATGCCCTGCATCGGCCCCACAATAAAACAGCTTTCATTCATCACCTACTTATGCCAAGCACTCTATGTACATCATCCCACTTAATTCTCAAAATAGCTCTATGATGTAGGAATTGCCCTTGTCAATGTATCAGGGAACCAAGGCACAGAAAGGGTAAGTAGCTGGCCTAAAGTCACACAGCTGAAAAGAGGGAGAGCCAGGATTGGTACCCAGATCTGTCTGGTCCTACAGATCTTGTGCGTCACCAGTCTGCTCTTTGCCTCCCATAAGACGCAGAGAGCTTCCCTAGGGACTTTGATGACAATGGGAGAAGGCAGGTGATCCACAACGGCTGGAGGGGGCCTTCCTGGAGAGCCACAAACTGTCCACAAGCTGCTGGGGTCAACTCTAGCAGCTTCCGCATGGAGGGAGCACTCCGTCCTCCCAGGGTGGCCAGCCCCAGGGAAAGGCCAAGGACGGTGACAATTTCCCACCCGAAGCAAGAAGAGCAGTGGCCGCGCAGGGTCCAGGTCTGTTCCTGTTCAGAGCTGAATAATCTGGAGCCTTTGAAGAAGGATTTCTGAAAAGCCATCAGGAGTGAATCATTGACTTAGGGAGGCGATGAATCAACGGGGAGTTCATAAAACGGCAAATGAATCGGGTGTGAGAACGACGGAGCCACTGCTATTCCCCAGAACCCTCCAGGGACAGAGAGCCGAGAGAAAAGAAATAAAAATAACACGGGGCCTCACGCCTGCTACAAACCCCAGTCAGCCCCTCCTTCCACGGGGAAAGACGGAGGGGACAGAGGGGACAGAGGGACGAGACCCGCTGGTGGTTGACGTGGGACCAGAGGGGCGCTCCCGGGGCACTCTGGGCTCCCTGGGTCCAGGCTGCGGGTGCAATTAGCAAACGTCTTTCCCCCTTCTTTTCAGGAGCCCTCACAAGAAAGAACACTGATTTTGACGAACACCCAAAATAATGTGAGATCAGGCACCATGCATTATGCATGAGGTCTGATTTAACATGAACATTATTTCTTGTGTACGAGACCATATGCCTCCGTGCTGTCTCTGCAGCCTAATAATACCCAGACCCACCCTGGTCAGGCTCAGCTAAAGACATGTCCACTGGGTGTATGCGTGGGGGGCGTGGAAGCAGAGCCCTCCTGGTACTTAGCTCATCTGAAGGGAGCCCATTCAGATGCCCTAGAGGTGGGTGGGAGGTGGGTCCTGCCCCTGGAGAAACACCAGGAAGCTGGGGGTGGGTGTAACTGTGTGAAAGTGTCAGTGTGTGTATGTGTGTGTGTGTGTGTGCGTGACATCAGGAGTCCATGACTAGGTGATGGTTCATCGCGTGGTGATGTAGGGACATGTGCATAGCTGAGGTTTTACTGCACAAGAGGGACGACGGCAGGAATGGATAGATCTAATTGCTGTGTGTGTTTGTATATATACACGCATATGTACGTGTGGGGGTGTGTGTTTAAAAAATAAGATCACACATACATACAAACACACAGCCTAACTTTAATTATCTGAAGGGAGCAGGAGAGATCTGGGAGGAGCCGGGAACAATGATGGGCAGCGATTGGAAAGCAGTTTGTGGGGTAAGTGCTTGCAAATTCTGAGAGAAAGGGCCCTGGTCCAATGCTGCAGAGCATGGTTGTGTGTGTTAAGTCAAATGTTTACAAGCGCCAGGTAGCTCTGGAGAGCTTGGTGCCAGAGACCACAGGGCTGGTACTGGGCAGCATCACGGTGGTATGGGTGTGACCGCGAGTGTGTGAGCATGTGTGCGAGGGGGCAAGCTGGCAAGGGCATGCTCGCGGCTTTCGTTGGCTGAGGGGAGGAGGGCTGGGGATGGGTGCGAGTGGGAGAGAGACAGGAGGTAGTGTGATGGCGATTCCTGAGAATGGCTGGGGGAATGAGTGGGGTGGTGGGTGAGGGAAGGGTGTAGGCAAGTCTGTGTGTGTGTGTGTGACACAGGCTTGCTTTCTTGGAGGTGACAGTTGCCTCTGCTCTACCTGGCACCCCCCATAGAGTAGCCAACTTGAAGCCGAACTTTGGGGGGATGCTCAGCTGTGAGGTTGGCCATGTCCAGGCTCAGGGACCAATAGAGGGCAGTCCTCCCACATGGAGCCCCAAAGGGCCGGCCAAACATTGGCTCCAGTGCCTTCAAATATGCCAGGCAGGGACAAGACTGCTGGCTCCTCTGGCTTCAGTCCCTAAGCTGGAGGCCCCGGGTGACTCCTGTTTGCCAAGCTTAGGGGGAGCCGCTGGGCCAGATAACCAACCTACTCTCACTCCTACCCCTGCTCAGGTGGGTCTCGTATCTAGAGCTTTCTGGAGCTCAAGCCCTGCTGGGGAAAGCTTGGACCTGGGTCATCACTGGACTCTTGACCCTCCCACACGCAGGCCCAGAGCCCCTCCAGAGGAGACTCAATTCCAAACAGCTCTAGGTGTGGGTAGCTGTGGTTGGGAGTCAGCTAGTCCTGTGGATACCCAGTCAGGTCCTGGGGCCAAGGGATGATTGCACAGGACCTGAGCCATGCCACATACAAGCTAGCAGAACCTCCTGGGCCAGGAGGTGGGGGAGATACAGACGCCCTTGGGGTTTAGGGCCAGGTCCCTTCTGTGTTTGCCTTGGTGGGCACAGGTGACCACAATGGCCACCTTCCTTCTTCCGGTTTTAGGCAGCGCCCACACTGCCAGTGTTCTCCCAGCTCAAAGCTTTCTTGGTGTAGCATGGCCTTCCCTTTCCGATCTCTGGGAGTGGCTCTGGATTTGTAGGCACAGTGGTACACACACAACTTCACACACCAACACAGAGGTTCCCATGGGGAGAGTGACGCTCTCTTAACGAACACAATCTGTGGCCACATGATCATGGACAATAATTCTCTTCAAGTGAGAAGGGGAGAGAGATGGGATCAGAGGATGGCCACTCTGCTGGGGAACGCTTGGGCTCCCTTGCAGGTTGATGCCGGGGCCATCTGCCTCTCTTGAACGAGGAGAGTGGAGGCTCTTGGAGCGAGCAGGTGGCTCCACATCCATACGGGGTGGAGAGACCTTTCCTAAACCGTACTCTAGCCAGGGAGTAAGACTCCAGGGCAAAATCTCTCTCTCCCTCTGGTTTCTCCTTACACAGTCAAATGTGCTGAGGTTCCTACCGCCCCCCTCCCCAGGCTGGAGACTGGGGAAAGGAGCCCTGGGGACTTCTGTGACCAAGGGGTTGGTCACTGGGTAGCTGTCCCAGGCTGCTGTCTCATTAAGTAAAATCTTCACAAAGTGGAAGCTTTTCTTCCGTCCTCGTTTCCACTTTTTTTTTTTCTTCCCACTTTTTTGTTCTACTTCTCAGCTGCTGCTGGCCCTTGGGAGGCCACATTGTTTTGTTGTTTTTTGAGTTGACTTGCTTAAATAATAAATCCACCCTCTTGTACGGGATTAAGCAGACAATTAGGAAATCAATCAATCAATTGGTGTCAGCTGCAGGCAGAGGCCAGTGAAAGGCCCCCGTCTTCCCTGTCGCCTTTCCAACCTCCAAACCTGCTGAGGCTCAGGGCGGAACAGGCAGCAGGGAGCTCTGAGCTTCGCTTGCTTCCATTTCAGGGCCCCGAGGTTGGGACAAATCCAGGAATGGAGAAATAAGTAGAGAGTGTGGGGGAGTGTGGGACTGATCTGAAGTTCTGTACTTAGTGGAGCAGGAAATGGAGGCCACGCTGTCACCTGGCCATGATATCCCCGGCCCCGTCTGTAAGCCTGGGGAGGCTCACTGGCCCGCCAGGGTGGGCGATGGCTGGGACACGGGTGCCCATCACAGGGCTCATCGCCCACTAGGCTGGACTGAAGGAGGGAGGAAACAGAAAGCAGCGGTGAGTGAGAGGCTGAGCCTTGGAAAATCTTGGCGGCCTTTGTCCTTGCAGAGATAATTCCTCCTGAGACTGAGGGTCAGAGCCCAGAAAGTCACCGGGAACTCTCAGCATGGTACCATCATCCCAAAGCCTCAGCCTGGCCAGGGACCACCAAACTGGAGGCCTGGGAACACCTATCTGGGTGCTCAAGATACATCGGCTGGAGCCAAGTCCTCTCCCAGTCCTGGGCTTGGGCCAATTCCTGGAAGGAGGGGGCCACAGACACACACACACACACACACACACACTCACTAGGGACACAACTTTCTCCCCCCATCAAGTGGTTGTGCTGCTTCAGGCTTTGTGTCCATGAAGAGTGAGAGAAACCTCATGTGGTTTCTCCTGAGGAGGGAAAGGAACTGCATCTAGGGAGGAAGCAGGAAGAGCTATTTTATTCGTATCTTTAAAAGTTGCTTTAAAGGGAAAAGAGGATCTTGACTGGGACATAGGTAACCTTGGGCTTTGGTCTTGGAACTCAGATCTGCCCCCACCATCAGGACTCTGGGGAGGGGGAGACGTTGGGGCTGAAAGCTTGGGAGGGGAGATGTCTGAGACTATGTCTTCCCCCCACCCCCTGCCGCCCGTCAGGGCTGCACAACCACCGAATCTTCATTTAGGCATATGCATCACTCCCTGAGTTGGGGGGTGTTCCTTGGGTACCCATCCCTGGAGAGATTGAAGGGCTTTGTGGGGGCACAGTTGTCTGTGCCCTCTTTCCTCCACGAGGGAAGTTGGGCCAGGTGGCTTGTTTGCAGAGGAGTGGGACCGGCTTTGCCAAAGCAAACAGGCAGGACTCTCTCCCCAGGCCCACTTAATTCCTGCAGGACCGCTGTGGAAGCTGTTAGGACTCCCAGTGGATCCAGGTTAGGTTTGGGCACCATGTGTTTGTGGGTGGAGAGCCAGCTGGGGCAGGCTGGTGTGGCCTGGCCCCACTTCCAACCGCCCCATGTCCTGGAAGGGTAGAGCTGGCCTGGACTCCACCCATGGAGCGCAAAGTGAAACTGAAGCCGGGGCCTGGAGTCTTGGGTGGGGAGCACAGAGACACCAGGCTGGTGGTCCAGGTGAGGCAGGCTTCTTTCTTGGCTGAGAAGCAGTTGAATTGTGCCTGAGGAATGGCTGTCCCAAATTCAGTGTGGTGTCTGCAGTGTTGGAGGCCCTGGTCTGGTCTCAGGATAGTCTGTTTACGGGAGGGGACGCGAGGCAGCTTCATCTTCCCTACGCTCACTCGCCTGAGGCAGGGATCCAACTGTTGCCCAAGTAAGAGGCAGTCCTCATACTGGCCTGAAAGAAGGTCTGCGTGGTCACCTTCCTCCAAGATAGTGTGGCCAGGACTTTAGGGGAGGTTAGCCAGGGTATCCCAACACTTTACCCGCACACCGACCCAACCCTGGTAGTAAAAAGGACAGGACACAGCCCTGGGGTACATGTTTATGTGAGTAATAAAATATTTACTATAACATAAATATAAAGGGAACTTCCCAGTCTACATTATTTTTTTTTGCAATAAAGATACAAAGAATGCACCAAAACATTGTTCCAAAAAATAATAAAAATAAAATAACAAAATTTAAATCCAAACTGTAACAAACAGAACAAGAAATGGAGAAGGGGGGAAGCTCCAAACACATCCAGAAAATAAATAGAGATGGGTCAGAAATCTGGAAATCATATTAAAATATTTTTTTTTTCGGATTATTCGGTGTACAAAATCCTCTCGGATGGGGATGGAGGGCAGCCCGGAAAAACCAAAAATAAAAACCAAGCACAAAAATGTGTGTACATATCTCACATATTTACATGGTTCCCACCTCACCCCAAACTTGGGGAATTTCTCTCCTGGCCGCCCCAGCATCCCGCATCCCAGGTGGGACTGGAAAGGGAGCAGGCGGAAGCTGCAGGGAATCAGGCAGAAGGTTCTCAGGGGAACGGCTTATTTCTACAGCTGGTTAAAAAATATCTCCAACTTTTTCAAGTTTCGTTTGTCGGTGGCCAGGAGGGCAGGGCCCCGCGGGGAGCGGGGGCCCAGCTGTGCAGCGGTCAGTCTGCGGCGGGGCAGAAGCCTCTTCCCGGGGGCTGTGTGTGGGAGCGCAGACCCCTCCCGCGTGGCCGGGAACCGAATCGCAGCTCGGATAAAACGAAACGAAAAATGAACACTCGAATTTTTTTTTTTGTTAAGTTTTTTTTTTGTTTGTTTTTGTTTTGCTTTTTAGTGGGTAGGGCAAGGGATGGTAAGGGAAAAAAATAAATTAGGCTAGATTAAAGCTTTGGCTATTTCCTGCTTTTATACACAGACGCGGCTCTCGCGGCCTCCCCTCCGGGGCCCCGATAAATACAGTATACAGCGATTTAAATTAAGGGCGCGGGCGGAGTTAGAAGGACCCCAGGAGCCGGGAGGCTCCATGAATAAATAAAAACCGTAAAAAACCAAGCCCGGAGGAAGGGTGAGGGGGATGGGGTGCATCCTTGTGGGAGAAAAGAAGCGTGGAGCGAATTAAGTGACAGTCCCCCACCCTCGACCCGCAGGCTCGGGAGTCCGCGCCGGGGAGAGGGACAGGGAACCCTCCTCTCTTCGTCCTCTCTCCCAGGGAATCCCTAACCCCGTACCGCGTTACCTGTCGCTGTGGGGAGGCCGCTGCCGGGATCCGGCCCCGAACAGCCCGGGGGGCAGGGGCGGGGGTCGTCGAGGGGATGGGGGCAGGGAGCAGGCGGCGGGCAGGATGCCCGGGGTGAGTTGGCGCGTTCCGGATCTTCGCTCCTCTCTCCCGGGGCTCGGGCGACGCAGCCGCTCGCCAGAGAGGGTCGTCCGGGTGTTTGGTTTTGTTCGAAAGTTTCTGGGCTTTTTGTAAAATCCAAAGCAACCGAACAAAAAGAGTTCAGGCCGCGCGGCGCCTCGCCGCGCGCCGGCTGGGGCCCGGCCCGCGGGGTCACTGCACCGAGCCGGGCAGTGTGTGGTGGTGGTGGTGGTGCAGCGCGGCCGGCGGGGGCGGCGGGGGCGCCGAGGGCGGCGACGCACCGCCCCCGCCCGGCCCCAGCTCGCCCGGTGCGTAAACGTCGTCCATGGGCGGGTGGCCGGCGCCCGCCGCCGGGGTCATGCGCTTCTCCTTCTGCCGCCGGTTGCAGAACCAGACGCGCACCACCTCCTTCTCCAGCTGCAGACTGTCGGCCAGGCCGGTGATCTCGTGCGCCGAGGGCTTGGGGCACTTGAGAAAGTGGCTCTCGAGCGCGCCTTTGACCCCCACCTCGATGGACGTGCGCTTCTTGCGCTTGCGGCCCTGCGCCGCGATCTTGTCCAGGTTGGTGGGGCTGCCGCTGGACGAGTCGGTCTCCTCCAGCCACTTGTTGAGCAGCGGCTTGAGCTTGCACATGTTCTTGAAGCTCAGCTGCAGGGCCTCGAAGCGGCAGATGGTGGTCTGCGAGAACACGTTACCGTACAGCGTGCCCAGCGCCAGCCCCACGTCGGCCTGCGTGAAGCCCAGCTTGATGCGCCGCTGCTTGAACTGCTTGGCGAACTGCTCCAGGTCGTCCGAGCTGGGCGCGTCCTCGTCCGAGTGCTCGCCCACCGACGAGCCACCGCCGCCCGCGCCTGGGTGCAGGTGCGCCGCCGCCGCGTGCAGGCCGCCCGCGTGTGCATGTCCGTGTGCGTGTCCGTGGGCGCCCAGGTGCGGCGGAGGCGACGGCTCCAGCTGCGCCTCGTGGCCGTCCTCGTGCAGCGCGTGGTGCAGGCCGGGCCCCGCACCGCCGCCGCCCGCCGCCAGCATCCCGGCCAGGCCGCCGCCGCCGCCCCCCGGGTAGGCCGCTTGCGCGTACAGCCCGAGCGGCTGGGGCTGGTGGCCCCCGCCGGCCCCTGGGGACGGCGACATGGCCGGGCCCAAGTGGTGCGCCGTGCCGCCCTGCGCCCATGCAGCGCCCGCGTGGGCCGCTCCCTGGTGCACCAGGCGCGCGTGGAAACTTCCTCCTCCGCCGCCGCCGTCGTCGGCTCGGCCGGTACCGCCGCCGCCCGCCTTGCCGTGTTCCAGGTGCGGGCCCCCGGCCCAGTCGCCGCCGCCTCCTCCTCCCGTGGGTAGCCACTGGGGGTGCGCTAGGCCCACCGGGTGGCCCGCGCCCGCGCCCAGCCACTCGTGGTGCATCAGCTTCTGCACTTCGCGGTACGCGGCCCCCGCGTGCAGCCGCTCGGCGGCCGCCGCCGCCGCCGCTGCCGCCGCGGCGTCCGGGTGCATAAGCGGTCCCGTGCCCCCGGCTCCGCCGCCGGGGCCCCGCGGCAGGTACTGCGCGGTGGTGGCCATGCCGCCCCGCGCCCTGCGCCGCGCCGCCGCCGCCGCTCCGCTCCGTCTGCGGGCCCCGCCGCCGCGCTCCGCCGGCTTAAAGCCCCGACCCGCTCGGCGCTCCGGAGCCCCACCCCGCCCGCCGCCCATTGGCTGCCCGCGGAGCCGCCTCCCGCCCCCCGGCCACGGCCCCCGCCCCCCGCGTCCGCCTGCCGCCCGGCCCGGCCGCCCAGAGCTCGCCATTGGGCCTCGCTCCCGGGGTCCCGCGCGCCGACCGTGCTGATTGGCCGCTGGGGCTTCATTCACGGCCCCCCTACCGTCCGCGTACCTACTCACGCCCCGGGGGCGCGGCCGCCACGTGGGGAGTGGCGCGGGGGTGGTACTGGGACCGCACCCCCTCTCGTCCTGGCTGCGTGGGCCCCGCTTACCCGCGGCTCAGGAGACTCGGAGCCCGGCAGGTCCCACACTCCACGCGAACTGAATTCCCGCCCGTCTCCTGCCCGGGCGGCCAAGAGGCGGCGGCGGGGATTGCGGGCTCCGGGAGGCGCTCGGGCTCCGAGAAGCAGCTCAGCCCCGCGCTCTTCCCTCCGCAGTGCCGCTGCTGGCGGGCCGGGATTCCCGCGGGTCTCGGCGGCTGCGAGCGGGAGGCGGCGCGGGTCCCGGCTCGGTTCCGGCGCGGCTGCTCTCCTCGGCCGCCTCGCCTCCCACAGCTTCCAGCCGGCACCGAGCTCTCCTCTGCGCGCCTCCCCGGCCCGTCTCGTTTTCCCTTCTAGACCCAGCGTCGCAACTCCGCCGACCTACGCCCGACCAGCCCTGGCTTCCCGCCTCAGGCGGGTTCCCCTTCTCCCGGGCTCCGCGGACCAGGTGAGTACCGCGCGGGCGATGCTGCGGGGAGACGGGAGCTCCCGTAACCAGGCCGCGTTCCAGGCTTCCCGAGGGAGAGGACCTCGAGGTGCAGATCGAGGCTCCCGGGAAAACGCCGCCGACGGGGGTGGTGGACATACTGGGCCCACGGGTATCTGTCCCACGCCGCTGCAGCCTTCTCGCTCCTTCCCTCTGCGTGACCGGCTCATTGGCCGGGGTCATGACGGGGTCACGCCCGGACGCGAAACTTGCTCCCGGTGAGGAGTGGCAGGGACTTGGGGAAGGGCGGCTCCAGAAATCCTGCGTGCAGGCCGGGAGCTGTCCAGCCTCGCCTGGAGCTCTGCGCTGGAGCTTAACGGACTTGCGGGGGGCGGGGGGGGGGGGGGGCAGCTGAAAAGGGAATTGAGATGGAGGAAGCCTTGTTAGAAAGGTGAGGTGTGTGCTCGCTTCGGCAGCACATATAGAGAGGTGAGGTGTGCAATTCCGGGATCTCCTCTTCTCCCCAGCTCTTTGAGGACTCCTTGAAAATCCTGAGTGGACTTGCACCTCAGCGCAGCTACTCTGTGCTTCTAAGCCCCACACTGGGCTGGAGGCCAAGTGTAGCAAGCTGTAACCTCTATCTCTTTCCTGCACTGAGGCTTGAGTCTCAGGGAGTCTTCTAGCTGACAGCTCACTTCTTCCCCCCCCCCCCCCCCGTTCTTACCTCCAAAGGACCCATTGGAGGTAAGGGCCCTGGGGTCTCAGATCACAGAACTGAGCTGGGGGTCCAGTTAGACCCTACTGGGCAAGTTAGGACTGTAAATAGAGCCTCAGTGAGTGAATAAAGGTGATGGGGGCTCAGATGGCAGCTGCAGTGGGACTGGTCCTCAGGGTGGCTGGGGCAGAGTCCACAGTGACAGGGGTCATCCTGGGTACAGATTGCTCCTCCAGACCCTGAACACCCATAGACCAGCCTCTGGCTAGCCCTCAAGTGTTGGGGAGTGGGACAAGGCACGGTCCTTGTGTGGTCGTTGGCCACTGTCCTGAGCAGTCTTCCTGGGTACCACCCTTGCTGCAAGAGCTGCAATGGAACTCTGTGTCTGAACCCAGCTAGGGATGCTTGGCTTTCCTGGACTCTGGCCTAAGATGTGGTCACCTTGAGTCACCTTTCCTCCATAAGATCATAAAGCACTTGCCTTCCTGGCCCCTTCCCCAGGCCCAGGAAGTAGGGCCAAGGTGGGAATTCTGTAGTGAAGACTCCTCTCTCACCAGTCCTAACCAGGCCAGCATGACACTGAAGCTTGGGCCTGCTGCCATCTTTCTGGGCAAGAATAACTCTGGTCCAGTCTCTGTAGCTCTTGGTTTTCCTCCCTGTAAATTGGGACTAACATTACCATAGGCAGCCCACCTGCCTCACTGAGGGTACTCAGGGGGTGATCTGAGACAATGGGGGGTGAAAGCTCTCAGGAAGGGCTTTTACTCTGGTTGTTTCTATTGTGAGTGCCCGGTGAACAGGCATGTCACTCCCCCTTTCTAAACAAATCTGTTTCATTATCCGTAGAGTGAGGTTGTGGAGGTTTGGAGCAGCTGACCTCTCAGTCCCTTGTAGCTGTGATGGTCTGATTCTATGAATCTCTCAGTTCCTGTTGGAGGAAGGGAAGTGTCTGGACAGCGGTCAGGTGTTACGATGTCCAGCCTTTGAATTGCCACTGAGATTTGAAGAACAGTGATCCATGGGCACGATGCTTTATCGAGTGCTTTTGCATTCATTCACATTTTATCCGCACCTCTCAGCCCTGTAGAAGGGCCCTGAGTGTATTATCCCTGGGGTGGAGATGAAGAAACTGAGCTTGTCCGAGGCAGCAGGACCTACGAAGGTCCCACTCTTCATCATGCTTGCTCCCATTGCTGTGGGGTGGGGGCAGGCGCCGGTGGGGCAGTGGCTTTGGCTGTCGCAGCAGAGAGAACCCACAGCCCCATCTCTGGTAGCTCTCCGGGGGCAGGCCAAGGCCAGTAGGGACACATGGAATCATCCTATTAGGCTGGAATTCATAGTCATACAAACCGAAACACAACGATAAACAGACATGCGTCCCAAAGGAAATGCACCCAGAACATGCACACAGGCTGCAGTAGGCTCAAGTAGACATTCCTTCATGACACAGAAATAAAGGAGACCTGCAGGCCCAGGGGTCACAAGCGTGGAAGCTCTCACCTGGCAGGCCAGTTCCCACATATAGGCACACCCTGGTGTTCGTAAACGTGAACACACCAACACACTCACACTCTCTCCCCCAGTGCTCAGATACAAAGAGGCCAAGCCTGCACATCACGGAGACACAAAGATGTATCCCCCCCCTCCCCAGGGAACTAATATATCCCACACAACGGATCAGAAGGCAGAGGAGGGCTCATGCCCAGCTCAGAGTTTGGCCCGTGCCATTCAGCAGCAGTGTGGGTCCCAAGGAAGCAGGAAGCCCTTTCTTTTCCTATTTTTATTTTTTCTTCTTCACTTTCCTTGTCTGTGGAAGGCAGCTCCCAGCCAGGCCGCTGCCAGTCTCAGAGGCTCGTGGGCCTCCCTCCCCAGCGGGGCCCCTGCTCAGCCTGCCCCCAGCCCTGGAGCTGCCCGGGCTTTCCCAGAGCAGTGCGGCCTCCTCCAGGCTCTGGAGTGTGACCGAGCGCCTGCTCATTTGACACAGGTCACCGAGCCTCCAGCAGATGGGGCCCTCCCTGTGGGGGTTCACGCCGCCGGAGGGGCAGCAGGGGAGGCTCTGCAGGGATGAACTCCAGTCCCACGTGTTCCCTCTGCAAAGCCCTGAGTCACAGACACCAACTCTGTGATCTACATTCACACTCCTGCCTGAGAGATTCGGACACGGCCTCTAGAAGACAAGCACACTCACTATCAGCACTCGCGCAGCCACATGTGGACTGTAATATTCCAGGCACACGCCCCAGACGGGCAAGCCAACACATCGGCACACCGAGCAAGACCTGGGAGGGAGGAAGAGGGGTCGGCTGGGGCTGGCTGCTTCCCCCCTTGGCCTCTGAGTCCCTGTGCTGTGTCTTGTCAGTCCGGTCAGTGGGTACTTGGAGTTCAGGAAATGCTGAGAGCAGGTGCATCTGCAGACCCAAGGCCTTTCGCTGCTGGGGGGAGCACAGGCTCCAGGACCCTCCCTCTGAATTCCTTGCTGTTAAGTCATGAGTGCCAAGAGAAGCTAGGAAGAGGCAGATCTGGGCCTGCGGGGAGGGCTACTATGGGAGCAGGTGTCCTAGGATACCCTCCTGTGTGCATGGGCTTTGAGGGTTTGGGGGTAGGGGACAGGCCCAGCTGGGAGTGGGGGGACAGGACGAGGCCAGTACTCACAGCCAGTCTTCTCCTCACACCCTGGATCCTGCATTTTCAGTGTCAAAGGGTCCTGGGTTCTCTCTTGGCTCAGACTCAGGCCTGCTGGATGACATCGGACCAGTCTCAGCCTCAGTATCCTCATCTGTAAACTGGGCAGGGTGGTCCCTGGTGGGTTGCTTGTGAAGGCGAGATGAGATCACTGCCCTGATGGAAATTTGGAAAGTGTGACTTGGTTTTTCGCCCCGGCTGCTTGGGGTGAGTAAGAAAGAGGCTGTGTGAGCAGGAGTGGAACCTGCCTGCTCCCCAACCAGTTCTTGCTCAGCGGTGTCGGGAGCGACCACGCCCACACCCTGCTCTTCCTGGGAGAGTCTGGCAGGATCCTGTGGTCACAGATGCCCACCTGGGGCAGTGCTGGGGTCCCTGTGTCCGTCCGCTGCCTCCGTGCATGTTGGTTCCAGCTAGCCAGATTCACAGTGCCTGCCACCATCCAGAAAGCTCTCCCACATGGCATAGGAGCACTCTTCTGAGCTGTCAAGCCCTCACCTCTTCCCCTCTGTACTCAACCCCTCCAGGTGCCTATGAAGGAGCCAGGAGCCTGGTGAAGAGGAGGGGAGGGGCGGGAGGGGCGCTGCTGCCTGTGGCAAGGAGGAAGCAACAGCTGCACCAATTTAATCTAAGGGTCCCTATTTCTCAGTCTGGGGGAAGGGAAGGAGGGATGGAAGGTGAACTATCTCTTAGGGATGAACCTTTCCTTGCATTTTTTCCCCCTGCCTCGGCCCCTGAGCCTGTGGGTGGGGGTGGGGGTCCTTCCAGGGCATCAGTAGAATATTCAAATTAGGGGTGGTCAATTGCTCTTAAAATTTACTTTCA